GGGGGATTATTAGGCGATGATGATGATGATGATGATGATCCTGAAGAGTTTGAGCTCAGTAGTATGCTAGACGTTGTCCATGAAGAGTAATATGATGGTTTTGATGATTGAGCTCTATTATGTAATTAATGTGACAAAGTTTCCATTACTGTTATGTTTAATACAAGGAATGTATTCTTAAAAAAAACCGGTATTTTCTTACAATTTGAACATATGTATTTGTTTACTTAATCTACGCCATACTTTTGTTAAATAAAAATAAAAACATAACTGCAGTTATAAAAACCGTAATTAGCATTTAATAACCAATTACCATTGCACATTATTCTTAAATAAACTGGCTACTTTACAGCAATGTGATTTTAGTTTCTCTCTAAATATGTACGTAAAATATAACCATGATCACCATACAGGCCTATATCAAGGAAATTTTTATTATTTAAAAATGGCAGCCATAATGGACGTCCATAATTTTTAATATAGTATAGTAATTTTTATGATTATAGTTATTGACAGTAGAAATGGACCTGTCATTGTTGTCATGTTCAGAAATAGGATTTTACAGTAGTTTTATGATGTGATTGATATATTCTGTACGCTCCCGCTGCATGGTCGCCATTTAGAATATGAATATTTTTTCCTGAAACTCATAAGTCAACATAAATAACTTGTTGAGGGTAAACTAAATTACAAAATAATGTAGGTCACGAATTATTTCTGGGAATGTTAGATTGCTTCGTAATTTTGTCAATGTTTAGGATTTTCGAAGTTAGCCATATTAAACATGCTCCCGAGACTTCCTCCACCACCTTTAGAGGTGCTAACAGGCGGAACTCTATTTGTATATGACTAAGTTATAAAAAAAAATAATAATTAGCAAGATAGACAAAGGGGGGAGGGGGTTATTGTCACCCCACGGTCTAGATGTGGCAGTGGGTCATTTGGGAATTAACTAAGATTGGATAAGTCCAAGTGGGTTCACGGGTGGTGGTCACACGGGTCAAGGTCTCTTCCTTGTTGACTGTCTCTCTCCATAGTACCTTTCTTCATGCCTGGTTGAGTGTTCTATCTATTTACTCGTGTTTTATTGTTTCATATATGGTTATCAGCAAAACCATGGACCATGCGCACCTACAGTACAGTGATTTATTTGCATATATAAAGGGCGGATCCAGGGGGGTATTAGGGGTCCGAACCCTCCTTTTCATCCGAAATTCCAATATTTTTTCTTTAATGCAGTATTATACTCAGGCATTTTTTGGGGGGGTAATTACTGCACATGGCTTCAAAATGCCCATGATATTGGTCAGATTTCAAAAAAAAAAATTCTGTAGGGGCTTACAGCGCACCCCTCCACCCAAACCACAACTGGGTGAGCTCGTTTTGCTCGGCATGTTCCCACTACCCACAACTTCTTGGATTCACCCTTGTGTATTGTAAAATAAATAGCTGTGCCTATAGGTTGTTTCACTGTACAGTAGTTTCTCAAGCGCCAAGATTAACATCACCATTATTCTGGTGGGTGTGTCTCATAAGTAAGAAAATTACTGTAACTAGAAAAATCAACGTATTCACAGACTGTTTCGCTTACCTTCTGTTAAATGTCAAGAAACATTAACATTTTACTTAAAAAAATATTATGATGGATTTGTTTCATAACTAGGAAAAAGACTGATTGTAAACTGAAAATATCGTAAGGTGGACGTGACGATAAACTGTTTCACTATCCGTGTTACTACAATATTAACAATACTTTTGGGTGAGGTAGGATATAAATTTGGGTGGGTTGGCCCACAGAAAAATACCTAAATCATAATGCGGCCCATGACTGAAGAAAGGTTACCCATGCTCGCTCTACAGTCTTGAGGTCACGCCGTCCACCGCGCCTGACGCCGCCCGTGGGATTGACTCATAAGTACTTCAGGCTCGAGTGTTTGAGTGGGCAGTTCGCTGTCTCAAAGCCAAGTAGCTCTCGAGCCTTCACAAGAAAAAGATCAATCATCATTCAGATTGCTGGTGACTCAATATGAAGGATTTCAGTGTGTGTGTGTGTGTGTGTCTGTTGCCTACGAGCCTGAGGGCGGGAGTTGTTGGGCTTGGGACACTACACCTCCTCGGCGACTGAGGAACACAATGATATCTTAACACCACAACTCCGAATGAAATTATCAACAGACTCTCTCACTTTATAGCGAAAACACGGGAATTCACGAAAAAACCCCAGAAACACTCACAATTTACAAACATGCATTGATTCTTTTGTTTTTCTTATTCCTGGAGACACCCCGCATGGTTTCGAATTATCTATATCAACTATCTATGTATGTATGTATGTATGTATGTATGTGTATAAAAAAGCGGGGGAAAAACTGCAATAATCACATTTGGTTTAAATTTTACCATGTCCATCCTCCAGTGCCTTGCCCTGCTCACCACCCATCTACCCTACAGTGGTATAACTCTATAATTCATCATTACAGTTTATGGTGGACTGAATCTGGCGGGTCTACAGGACAATGTCATCTACTGTACACAAGATGTGCTCTACCATGTGTATATATTTTTCATGGTGGAATTTAAGTGTGAGTGAACTGTTTAAATTTTAGTGTTAGTGGTACACGTTGTCTCAGCCCTACGTGAGGTGCTCCTCTAGGTATATACAGCACGTCACCCTCTCAGAATATTCCTGGGTCAGCCTCTGATGATAACATAATGGCATATAAAGAGCTCCGCCGCCCCTGGCTGGAGTGATGACCGGGCTACTATATATGGAGTAATGCAACATGTCAGCGTCGCCATATTCACGCTGTTAACACCCTCGGCGACAGGTTAAACGAGGTCACTGACAAATGTCAATGGTGGGGGAGATAGCTTAATGAAGGGCACCGCGGGATCATGTGAGGGCCAAGAGTGCCTTAGATAAAGGCACTGTCGAGTATAGTGAAGAATTATTGGGAGGGAGGATGATACTCGTGTTTCTCTGTCACCACACCACACACTCGCCTTCAGGAGCCTTCACGCCACAGCGTGGAAGTGTGCACCCTAATATTCCTCTCAGCTCCTCCTGAATCCGCCACTGAAATATATATTTATTTATCATCATAAACAGTATTCTGTATGTGAACTCTTGTTCGGGGAGGGAGAGCCCCCAGAGGAGCAGCGAGGAGGCACAGAGCAGTGACTAACAAATAGATTACGTCTACGTCGGAGAGATCTTAAAGTATGATTTTAGTTTACGCAGGTGAAACAAGTCTTAAGCATAATAATAATAATAATAATAATAATAATAATAATAATAATAATAATAATAATAATAATGATAATAATAATAATAATATCAATAATCATTGTTGCCTCATGTAAAGAGGTTAATAATTACACAGGTCCACCAACAATTAAAAATTATGATATACCGCCATTCATTATTTCTGCTACTTCTTAGAAGGCCTTGAGTGTCATGTTTTCAACGACTAGCCGCTGCTTCTAAGGGAGCTGAAGATACTTTTTTTTTGACGTCCGGTCTTGTCACTTGTTAGCACTGCTTTTTATAGGTCAGGCTCCACCGACTACTTAACAAAACCCAAACGTATTTCACCTCAGAGGGTTTTCTCTGCGCCTTATATCATGGACGTGTCACTTCCTGCCTCCGATGTCAATATCAGCTGTGACACTTCACTACCTTAGTCTTACACAACCACACCCCAAGGAACCTTTAACTCCTTCCTCTCCCTCCTGCTTGAGCTACACCATGTGAGGTGTCTCATCTGGGTTCATTGTAGATTTCCAATCGGAGTTTTACCGTGTTTTTTTTTTTTTTTGCAGGTTCGAGGTGGTGCATATTATTGGTATTAAAGTAGTTAAACCTCTGGAGGAAGGACTCATAACTGCACCACAGTTTACCACTCATTACTCAATACTATGATCAAAGGTTTTCATTGGCAGATCAAGATCACACTTACGACGCCTGGACCGTCTTCCGGCCCTCTTGGTCTCCACTCGCGCGATAAAGAAAAGCCTGAACTTCTCAGTAGCTGTACTGACTCGACTCCTTGGTGAATTCCACTCCAGCACCGCCTGTTGCCCTACCAGACTTTTATTTATTTATTTTTTATTTACATGAAGAGCTTCTCTCACTTCTCACCTGGCAGTACTGAGTGGCTAGTAAGTTAGCCAAAGGTGAAGCAGCACCAGCAATCTCTGCCACCTAATCCAGCTTCTAGCTATACACTCGACTATATCTCGTAATCTTTGTTGTAAACCTAAAGAATAATTTATTGACGTTTTACTAATGTTTTTATGTACTCTTAATCTGACACTAAACAAAAATATTGACTGCCTGTGGGTCCTTACGAATAAGACAATGATGTAGACTACCAGTAATTAATAACCCTAATTACAGAACTTTGAAACTATATTATGCGTGGCTTTGTTTTATTCTCCAATAAGTCAGATTCCTAACATAAATATCGCACAGAAATTGAGAAAACAGAGGCATTTATTACTAAAAATAAAGACCAATGCGGATAAGCTGATTCAAACGTCCCACGGTGGTCACATCAGCCTCTCTCTGAGCTGCCAGCGGCTCATCTAAGACCTCCACTACATTTATGTTCTCTTTATTTTTACACTAGCAGGATGATAAATACATTCATTATATTTTTCAAGTATGTATAATATGTTAATGTTGATAATAAATATTTTTATATTTGTAGTATGAAAATAAATAGAGTAGATTTAATTTTAACTAATGATGCTCAATCACAATTGTTAAAATATAGATCTACCATGGGTACCGTACTAGAAATAGGTTTATCAACAAATACAATTTAAGCATATATACTTTATCACATAATGCAATTCAAACATAATTAATGAAATATCAATGTGACACTATACTTTGTGAGCATAATCTGGAAGTTAAGTGATAAATATGACTCTAAAGTTAGGTGTGTGTGTGGATTATAGCACAAAGTACGGTACGTTTGTTTGTTTACGTACAACGGAACGTGAAGGCGGATGGCTGCATCTCTACCTGCTTAAGGTTTCGTCTCAACTTAGTGGATTATTACGAGCAGTTTTCTTTAACCAATACGTGTAGGGGTGTGAGAAGAACAAAACAAGATGGTGATGACAGTAAGTAACAGGAACAGCGGTGAGACGAAAGAAGATAAGAAGTCTACAGGGCCAAGTCCTAGCAATGGCCACGTCTCTGGTCACTGCGACGACGCCGAGAAGGATGGTGGTAAGTGTTTAAATTATATGTTTTTAGACTATATTTAACTAAACTGTAAACAAGTAGACTCCATTAACCATATGAGGTGTATTTGATTAAGGTCCGGTGACAGTTAAGGCACCCACCGACGCCTGTGTGAAGGGGATGCTGATCTGTCTTTAAGGTTGGTCTGTGGGGATGTCTTCCTCTTGTTATCTTTAAACTAAGAACCATTTACTTTTAAAGGATTTCAGTAGATTGTGCAGATTATTGTAGCAGGTTCATCAGTATGGGTTAAAAAGTGGTGAATTAGAGCTAGTGGGCAGCATCCTAGAGTATTATCTTAATACAGTTCTACCCCAGTCCAGAGGGAACCTTGACCACTTATAACTGAAACTTACTATAAGAAAAAAGCTGACTGCTGAACACCTCATATACAAACTTATTAGGAGTGCTTTACTGTACTGTAATACCGTATATTTTGTCTTCCAAATTGGCAAATTGTTTGGTATTTTATAAATATTTTGTTGGATGATAGAGAATATAATTCTTTGGTACTGTATTATATTACTTTCAGACAACATGGGAATCTTAGGAATTTTATCTTTGCAATCCATAGTTTAGACAATTATTAGAAACTTTTCTTCTATGACTTTTCCCTTGCAAACGACGTACCGTTTATATGCCGGGGTTAGGATGTTAAGTTAGGTAATTTTTAGGTAATTTACGAGGGAATCCTCACAGAAGAAAACTGTCTTCTAATTACCTAAACTATTGATTTGCAAAGATAAAATTCCTAAGATTCCCATGTTGTCTGAAAGTACAACTTTACTAATTTTCTTCTACTACAAAAATAACTTCAGACACAGGAAGAGCCTCACATAACCTCCATATCCAAGTTTTGATATATTTCAGCAAGTATGTAGTTTCTACTAGTTAATAATGATGACCGACGTAGCCACTAAGCTAACCTGATGATCTTGCAGTAACTTTAGTTGTTATGTTATATTAAGTTGGTTCATCGTGTCTGTCAGGAATAATATTTTAGTAAAAGATGTACTGTACACATAAACTATATTATAGCTTGCATTTCTTACTTGATCTTTCAATTTGTATTTTCAAATCAAAGTTTTGGCATATTATTATGGAATTATAAATATAAAAATCATTTAACAGTTTTCAACAGAAAGACTGAAAGGCTTACACATATATTGTTAACTGCTATTTGTATACAATTGAAAAGTTGAAATTTTGATAACATTACCGGTACATTGAATGCCAGACAACAGAAAGACCTCACACAGGTAGTTGAGTTGGGTGCATCCAACTTGGCTTCCTTCAGTGCTACTAAAACAAAATATATCATCCAATATAATATTTTGTAATATTCATATCTCATAACTCACGGACGGACCTCAGGGTCACCGTGTGAGGACGGGTTAGTGCAGACTGGAAGTAAGAGTTGTGGTTTTTATTTATGATGGTTTTACAAAATTATCTCAGAGTTCTTGTATCAACATCATAAATTATTATCTATATCAGTATTCTTTAGGAGCAGTTGGTAATTTGGTCTTTGTTTCCTTGTAGATACCGTATTTATTTTCCTACTAAAATTATCATGCAACTTCTTAAATATTTTTCTGGGCAGGAAAATTAATACAGTATATTCATAACATCCAGGATGCCTAATTAAAAACTGTCATTACAGATAGTGGGATGCGCGTTGGGAAGGCGTTCCAGGCAGAGATCCCGTCTATGCTGCCGTCCCACGGTGGGTTCATATCAGTCAGCTGTACTGGTCATTAGTAGTGCTTTATTACTCTCTTTGTACATTCATATCAGTGCACTGTATCTGTTGTAACAATTATTGACATTTCCTATCACCGGGTAAATTAATTTCCCATATTTGGTCGTTGACTCTTGTCCCATAGGATATTGTACTTCACAGCCTTCTCATTTTTAAGTTGCTATTTTCTTTTGCATTTTAGTTGTATTTTCAGCTGTTATTTGATACACTGCTTAATTCTGTCATTGTAAAGTACATTTTAATCATTCACAAAGGCTACAACTTTTGATATTTTATTTGACTTATGTCAGACAATTTTATTCAGCTCAGAGGGTAACCCGTACACAAGGGGTGATGCGCCAGACACCCATGTTGTGTGAGACGATGGGTTTACTCCTTATTTTGTGATCTAGGCTATTGTATAAATACAGTACTGTAGTCAAACTGTTGACATTTTTTTTAATAGAAACTGAAAATGCAAGACAGAATAATACTGGAAAGATAACTTTTTAGGCAATGCTCTGGACTGGCTCCTGGCTGGTGATGATGGCATGGTGGTCAGTTCCAGGTGCATATACAGTGATACCTCCATTAGCCGGAACAATTTGTGTGGAGCACTTCCGGGAATGAGAGACTTCTGGGTAACGAGACGGCTCTCTCAAACCTGGAAAAAACCTCATCTCCAGATTTTTTCTGGGTATTGGGAAAATTTTCTCTGAATTTCCAGAAAATGCACCTGATGTTCATCTCCCAAATCCTAATTTTCTTGTAATTTACCAGAAAATGTGCCCTCGGAAAATCGTTCTCAAGCCCAGAATTTTTCAGGAAAAATCTGAGCAAATTTCAATTCCAGCTATCAAAGAGTTCCAGCTAAGAAGGATACTGGCTAACAGAGATATTACTTTATATCCTGACACTTATTACAGCATTAACTACTGTGCTCCCATTATGATATTTAGCTGGGTGTTCTTAGAATTATCACAGATCTATATAAAATATATGAGGCAAACAAGTGAAAACAGACAACATTCTGTGCTACTGTAGTGTGCAGTTTACAAAAAAAATGGACGCCCCTCGAGATCGAGGATGGTCGGCCTTAGGGCCATCTAGGCGTGAATTTGTTTAAGGTGAAGAAGCTGTCGCCAAGACAACAACCACACCCTAAGTTAATGAACTGCATGACCCAGTGTCAAGGAATAGTCCGAGAACACCAGACAACTTGCCAACAGCACTGGCAAACTATTACCCTGGAACACAATCCGCATATCGATTAACATCCAGGTCCCCAATTACTGCTGGGTAGACAGAGGCAAATGGTGTAAAGCAATATACCCATAGTTTCACCCTGCCCGGGGATTGAACCCGTGTCCACTCGCTTGCGAGGTGAGCATGCTGACGATTACACCACAGGTCGTCACGGTCTACAAAGATATCTTTAGTTTAACCTAACTTAACTTAACCTGACCTAAATATTTTGTAGACTGCACGCTATATTAGCACCCAAAACTCTAATATGAAATAACAATTGTGGTCTGCTTTTGTGTTTGTGTAGTAACAGTAAATGGGACAATCAGTGACAACACACTTTTTGCAAGGTATTTTTTGTTCATAAGTCACAACATATGTAATGTCTGGTTATTGTAATAAGATTCTTTATTTTTTATTCTTAAATAAGGTGAAGGAGTAGGCTTTGTGTGAAAAAACAAAGCCTAGGTTAGCTTTTGCAGTCCTTGTAGTGCTCCCTGTTCCCATGTGAAGGTCCCAGGTTCAATTCCTGGTGAGTGAGATGCTTGTATATGTGGTCTCTATGTACTGTTTCTGGAGATATGAGAAGTTTATCTAACATTCTGTAATTTCTTCTGTAAAATACATCAACATCCTGTAGAGTGTTGCAGACACAAGATTTTCCTTGTTGTGATTTTATTATGTTCTTTAATGTGATGTGAGTACTGTACTGTTATCAAATAAATGTCAATGCTTTTACAGTACAATACTTGTACAACACAATAAAAGCTCTCAGGTTTACTGATCAACACTTCCATTTTACTGATCAACAGTTCATGTTGACGTCACTTATAAATCGTCCTACAATATGAATATATGCACATAAAGTTTAGCAAATTTGAAGTACTGTATTGGTATAACAGGCTTGCTGAATGTATAAATTTGTCACTAGCCCATTTGCGAGTAAATTTTGAAATCCAATCCCTCACAATTTTTTACTTACCCATTTTCTATTAATTTAATTGACAAAAATATACAGTACAATATACAGGGTTCTGTATTAATTTTTTGCATAAGGCCATTTTTTTTTCATTATAGCTAAAGAATGTTGGACACTTTCACTTTTGCATGTGGAAAAATTACCACATGTCTTTCAGGCTAGCAAATATAAAATTTAACTCCCCCCTAAGGATTTTCCAATGGGTGAGTGAGTTTCAGAAAACCTGTACTGTATAATAAACACAACTGAAGCCAACTCATGTAATCTGTATATTATAGTACAGTACTGTATAGTTGTAATGCTGGTGATAGCAGTATACAACAGTAATACCTCTGTTAGTTGGAATCCCTCTTAACCAGAACTCTCCGAGGGCCGGAATTGAAATTTTCTCGGAAAATCGTTCCCAAAGCCGTAATTTTCTAAAAAAAATTTCAGGTTGTGGGAAAAATTTTCCGAGGGGCACATTTTCTGGCAAATTCTGAGAACATTTTCCCGGTACCTGGAAAATTACGGGGATGGGGGATTTTTTTTTCCCAGCTTTGAGAGATAAATATCGGGGGCACTTCGGAAATTACAAGAAAAAATTTCCAGCACCCAGAAAATTCCGGGGGTGGGGTTTTTTCCGGCCTTGAGAGATGAAATAATGCACCATTCTGGAAAATTCAGGAGATGGGGGATTTCTTTCCAGGTTCGTGAGATGACGTAATGCACAATTTCTGGAACTTCCGAGAAAATTTTCATAGTACGCGAAAAATTCCGGGGATGGGGGATTTTATTCCGGCTTTGAGATAATTGTCTCGTTACCCAGAAATTTCTCATTCCTGGAAGTGCGTTGCACCAATTGTTCTGGCTAATGGAAATATCACTGCACGTATACGTATGTATGCATACACAGCTACAATAGCCTTGGGTTATTTCAAAGATAGCAAACAAGGATTTTCGTGAAATAAAAAATCACAATAATGTACAATGCTGTGCAGTAATATACAAATTCAATACAGAATAAGGGGTTAGGAAGCAGTGGCCCAAAGAATGCTTAAAAAGTTAATCATTTTGTAAACACAAGGAAGACATATCCAGCATTTTGGTACACCATGGAAAAATAAAAAGAACTGAACAAAAGTAAAGAAATTTGTACACACAAGAAAAGAAATAAATACAATACATCACAGTGTGCTGCCTCTAACTGACCCAGTGTCCCACAGACTCAAAGATAATACTGGATGACGGTTGTGCACGTTGAGCAGTAACTGTAGAAAATGTTATTACTCAGTAGAAGATTAAGGCTGGCTTACCTTATGGAATGTAAAAAAAAAATGGAAAAGTTAAGTTTTTGTAATATTATTTTAAAGATTTTTATCCGTGAATGAAAATCAACCTTCTCCAGGATTTAAACATTGGAACTATAGCATCATACCCTGTGGCCGTTCCATGGGTTTGGGACAGAAAAATCATAAAAATTATATTACAATACAGTAATATATTCCTTCCTACTTTTTAGGTTTTTTGATGAGTAAGAATATATTTATCCTTTACAATTACTGTACTGAAGAATCTCTACTACAAGTTGTGCAACTAGCCTGCAGTACAGTAGTCACTTGTTAACGTATGTTAGAAACCGCAAGAACTCGCGGTAACATGAAAATGCATTAAAACACGTAACTGATTTCAGTGGGAAATAAGGATTGGGGCTGAAGGACCAAAAATACACCACAAAATGCTCAATAACTCTGTTAAAGAACAGTGAAGGCTATAAGTTTTAATAGAAACTATAATGTTTGGATACTGTATTTTACAGCACATTGGACACACTTTTTTGTCTGGAAAAATGGGTAAAAAAATCAGCCAGTGTCTTATATGCTGTCTCCCGTAGGCTAAATTCTACCTAGCCCATCTCCAAAATTAAAAATATGTTATTGCTTATTTAAACATATTATTTTTACTTTTAATTAATAAAAAAATATTTATTGTAAATATAAAAGATAGACTTATAACTACTGATGATAACCTGAGATGATTAGCATCCATACAGCAGGCACTAAGCACAAACCATTTCTGAACTCTTACAAGCATTACTATCTATTATTGTTATATCTGTCACATTTATCTTTAAAATTGCAATTACTTGATACAAATGAACATTTACAGATAATTTTCTCTTCACATTTGCATCTGTTAATATCACTGGCGGCATTGTTGCCAAGTTAGACACATGACTATGACCACCAGGCCGAGCTGTGAGGTGTTATGGTTATTTTCAATATGTAGTTTTGGGTAGATACAGTACAGTATACTCTTTACGTAACTTTTTTTTTTTTACTCAGTTACATGTACACACAATCCTACATATATATTGTGCCCAAAAAATTATGATAAATAATTATCATCACGTCAAACACATAAAGGGAATGAACACTTCTTTGCGCACAAGTTAGTAGGCTCAGTGGGGGATGAGGAGGAGGGAGCGTGTGTGTGGGGTGGGGCGGTAGAGGGAGCGCTCCCGCTGACCTGCGTTATGGCCAAGTAGCCAGCGTCTATGCACATGGCACTTAGGTTAACCTTTCATTTACCTTTTCCATGATAGTTTTAGCTGCATTCTTTTCATCTAGATTGTAAATAAATGTTTTGAAGTACGGTAGCACAATTGTTGAATAACTTAGGAAAGGTAGGTGGTATGGTTTATGATTCTTGGGTAGATGAATTTTTTATTTACCATGGTACATCCTCACTCACTCTTGCATACAGATTATGTAAAAAAGAAACAAAAACTAAAGGCCAAAAACTTAAAAGAGAATGAACTTTCTTCATGTGTTAAGAGGAAGGGAGAGTGAGAGATCATAGCTGTCTCTTGTGTGGAGTGAAGTGCTTAGTAAATTTCGTTGTCCAGTAGCCAAATGGGAGTACAGTATTTTTTGTTTTAATTTATTTATTGGTATTATTTTCATTTATTTCTCACATTTACTGGTATGTATATATTACTTTATGAAAACTATGGCAACAGCAGGAAAATACACACAGGATTTTTTCCTAAATATGCCCGTGTGTCTTATATGCCTTAAAATACGGTACTGTATATAACACAGACAATCCCAGATTTACAAACAGGTTCCATTCCTGAAAAATCTGTCATAAATATATTTTCTCTTAATCAAATCATATTTTCCTATAAACTCTAAATATAAAAGCTGAGAGACATTCCTATACAATTTATTATATTTTATTTTTCAAATGCTAGAAAACATGTTTTTAATGACACTTCTTGGTTTACACAATGACTCTAAACCAATAGTTTTGATAAGTGAAAAACATTCAGTGGAGAACAGGGAAGCTACTGAGAAACTGTGTCACTGGTTGTGAAGCAGTGCAAGGCTTTGAGGCCCAGCCAAGCCATACGATTTTAATATGGTAGTGATGCACCTTCAGTAAGTTTGATTTCACTGACTGAGGTTATATCTGAAGAAGCATTGCTAAACATTTTATTCCTTCCATAAATATCAGATAAAATTCTGAGATACTAAGCACATCACTGTTCTCACGGTTGAAAGAGGTAGTGTCTTGCCACTGCTTCATGTAGTGATCCTTTGAGCCATGATGACTAAAACTCTGCATGTATTTTATTTTTAGCTTAGTTTACCACTCAATACAGTACAGTGCTGTACTGTATATTGTTTATAGTTTAAATGTCTTTGTAAACTGGCCAGGTCCAGTACAGGAAGCGCTGAGATGCTTATAACCGCACCTCAACATCTTCCGATGCTGTGAAAAATTGTGGGAAAAAATCGTAACTTCAGGTTTTTTGTACGTAAATCACAACATGGGAAAAAATTTCTTCTTAACTTTTGATTTTCGCAAACTGGTTCTTCATGGCACACACATGGAAATTGATATATTGTACTGTACTGTATATACTTATATTAAAGAGAACTTGTGATTTAACTAGAGCATAGACTGTGACTACCATATGTAACACAGTGCTGTACTTTGGTGTTGTAGAGCGCCGACCTGAGCAGTGTCCTGAGAGAGCCCTGTTGGTGTGGGCGCCCAAACTAGAGCTCAACGAGGAGAGCCGTGAGTATTCTTGTAGGTTTTGTTACTACTTGTTTGGTCTATGATTATCTATCTCTCTCTACTCTACTTTTAGTATAGGGTAGATAAAGGGGCAGAGAAACCTCAAAGAACAGGTAGAAATTTAGGGTAAGTGGTACAAGACATTACAGTATAGAACATAAGAAAACACAGGTAGAAAATGACAAGGGAGGGCTAAAACAAAAATATATTGTACTTGTTCTTACTTGTAACCTCCATATACAGTTCAGTAAAGTCTTGCATAAAGAGTAACCAATTAACGAGAATTTGGTGTAACATTCTTGGTGTTTCAAGAAAAATTGGCCATCATACTTGTGGAGTGCAGTAATTTTTTCACTTAATTCACACTTAGTTTTTTTCTATATTTATTTCTTTATTAAAACAGTAACAGATCATGGAATATTAACAACTAAATGAGATGGGAGATGGATATCATTGTTCACAGTTACACAAGACTATGATGATCTCATCTCACCTGTGTACCTGTTAACATACACACACATACACCTGTAACCCACAAACATCTGCTAGGTTTTGAACAATAATAGTAAGAATACCCAAGATCATTCCTGGAATTTTTTTAATCTTTTATCTTTTTTCTTTTTTTATGGGGATTAGCCCACCCAGGCACAGGTCACTGACCCACATCAGGGCCTAGGGGGCAAAAATGTAATAATAATAATAAAATAATAACAATAATAATAAGGAACCATAAAGAAATACAAAATGAAGAAAAATCAAAAGTGAGAAACATTTTGTGTATGTTGTGTTGTCAATAGTAAGAGAAACAATTGAGACGCTGCAAATGTATGCAACCGAGGCAGAAAGTCAGATCAGCAACCTGGGACTTGGTCACAATTTTTGTGATGCCATGTGGCACCATAGACAACACATTATGCTTCCAATATCTTCCCATGCGGTAGTACCTCCCTGTTTGGTAGCTGCCTAATGCCTACTACCTGCAGCGCTACGACAACAGTGCAAATAACACATCACCGAAACCTGATAATTAGAGAATGATGAAGCAAAATTATGTTATTGTAAAAATTTCTTCAATGTATGAGGTGGGGAATGGTGGTGGTGGCTGATGACAATCATGGTGCATCACTATGGGAGGAGAATACAGCTCCTCTCCGACTTACGACCACCTGGACATATGACCGCCTCAGTCATACCAAAATTTTGTCAAATTACGTATTTTCGAGTCCCAACGTCAGTGATTGCACTGTGTACTGACAAAATTTTCGTTTGTAATTCACTTTAAAATAGCTGGCAAGCTTAAAAGTGAGAGTTTTTTGGTGTTGAGAAGAAAAAGAGACACCCATTTTAGATTTTCTATGTATTATTTAAGCATTTTTGACTTATGACCATTTCGACTTACGACCTGGATTTGGGTTCCTAACCCCGTCGTAAGTCGGGGAGGAGCTGTATGTCTAGTGTACCCTCGTAGGCCTGTTTTCTATACCAAAAATGTTAAGCCAATCACAAAAAGCAAAAATAATTACACTAAAGCCTGGATATATTTTTTGTTATTATGTACTGTATTTCTTTTATTTAGATCCATTTTATAAAAGCAGCAATGATAAAGAAAAGAGTTGGCTGGGAGTTGACCTTTCAAAGTGATTGTTTTTCACTATATTTAGTTTAAGTTGAAGAGGCATATATAATTATTTTAAGGAGAGGCCCATGACAGTTTAGACTTTACCGGCTTCCTTGCAGTCATCCTGGTGTATGGTGGAGTGACAGACACATACACTAGGGATGGCTAACAATTTTTCACAAAGAATTATTTCCTCAATATTTTTTTTATTTTTGGTGTAAATTAATGACCTTATTTATTTCCAGTTGAACAATACATCTGGCTAGCGAAAGACAAATACGGGTATAATGCTGAACAAGCTCTTGGCATGTTGTTTTGGCATCGGCATGACCTAGAGAAGGCAACAGCAGACCTCGCAAACTTTACACCCTTTCCAGATGAGTGGACCACGGAGGATAAAGTCCTTTTTGAGCAAGCTTTCCAGTTCCATGGCAAAAGTTTTCATAGAATTAGACAAATGGTATGAAAGGTTTATTTTGACTTTTTTCAATTCATTGTGTAGCTTTCAGCCTATCCAACCCACAAGTGAAAGTGAGCCTCAAGGGGTGGGGTTGAGGTAACAGGATCTATACTCTACTCTATATAGTATTCAAGTGTACAGTATTGATGTCTGGAAAGGTGGGTTACATGGAGAATTAAAATACATTGTAATGAGTATTAGTGCAGTTATAATCAAGATGAAATACAGTACTGTACTTATATTGTAGTATTGATTCATACACCTCAGAGCTAAATAACTGTACTACTGCACCTGTAGTTCAACAATCACACATTTTCACTAGTGGCAGTGGCAGCAAGTAGTGTTAGTGGCTGTACAGTTATCATTTGGAAAATTATCAAGAGTTCTTATGATATTCAAATGTGAAAATAGCCATACAGTACAGTACTCTTAGAGAAAGAATTAAAATTGAATGATATGAATATTACAGCAATATAGATTCAAAATCCAATCTATTATGAACATGTACACCACTCTGTCAAATAAATGAATGACCTGACATGATGCAATGCCACTCAACTGTTGTTACCAGCTAGGTGGAGGTACGCAGCATATGCAGTAGAATACATAACTTTATTTACTTCGATTAGATTAGAATTATTATACATTATACTATACTGTAAAAGAAAATAAAGAGAGGGAGAGAGAGACTGACTTTCCTTTTCTCCTCTCCTCTCCTCTCCTTTTTAATCATAATCTTGTGGCAGCAAAAGAAAAAGAAGACAGGGTAGGAGGAAGGCAGATGAGAATAGGGACTCTTCTCACTCACTTGAGGATGATGAAAGAGGGAGGCTCTTTGTCCTCTCTCATATACAAAATCTTCTCACTCAGTACTCCAATTTTAATTCATAATAAGTGAATAGAATTGGCTAATGTTATAGTGTAAATCATCCCACACTGTAGCCAATTCCAGGATGAAAAGGACTCTGGTGTTTTGGGCAAGGATTTGATGTTAGATGTCTTCCTTGTGGGTTATGTTGAGATAGCCTAAGAGTCTCTATGCTCTTGTCATACTGTACTGTAATGCTGTCATTGTACAGGATCCATCTCATCATCCTGGAGGTGAATACAAGGTATTTCTGGGTGATGGTACATGGAAGAGGTTGGCTGTGTAGATTACAATGTATAATATTCAAATTATATAATACAATAATTAGATTTTGTGTTACAGTACTAGTCATTATAATTTATTTTGATTCTCCCTCTGTATGTATAGTGTGTGTGTGTGTGTGTGTGTGTGTGTGTGTGTGTGTGCGTGCGTGTGTGTGTGTGCGTGTGTGCGTGCGTGCGTGCGTGCGTAGCATATTTGTAAACACTGGGTTCACGTTGTTATTGGATATGCTATGGTACTCTATCCAAGTTACTCCTTCCATCCCATTAAGTGCATGGTTTACACTGCCAGCATGGCTTTCTTACTCATTTTGTGACTCCTGTAAATAGAAAAGTGTCTTTTAATGATGGTAGGATTCCTTATCTGTCCGCTGCTGTAAATAGTGTGTATGTTTGGATGCTGTCAGCTAGAGCAATAATTCACTTTTCATCGTACTGTGCTGGTCTTCATTATTTTCATATATATCACATTATTGTTCATACTAATCATGATTAAATGTAAAACATTTTAATTTAATTTGCAACAATGGTATAATTTATATTTGACTCAACGTGCAATGTGTACTTGAAGCCTGTACGTATTTCTCTTTTCCTGTTGATGCTATTGTAACCCATAGAAATACGTTAAACTATTTTACATTCATTTTCTATTACTATTAATGGATAGCAAATTGTGAATTATATATCCCTGGATTAGGCAGGTTTTATTGCAATTAATTGGGATCACAGGTTAGGATGTTCAGGGCAGTGGTGCTACTATCTGGTTAAAGGGGTTGTTATAACTGATGTTTGTACTTTTGCATACATATATATTCCTTTGTTAGTAATGAGTAGCAAGGACAATATAGTGTTACTCTGTTTCTCATGCACTACTTTTGTTCTCAGTTACCTGACAAGACTATAGCACAGTTAGTGAAATATTACTACTTGTGGAAGAAGACTCGGCAGCGTAGTTCACTCATAGACCGACATGCTCGCAAACACACTGCCAAGCTCCAGGTAATACTTTATTTGTAGTTTATTCTGTGTTTTTTCTCTTTCTAATTGTTAGGCGGAATCTGACTGTACAGTATTTACGTTAAAAAGAAGATGTTGGATAAGGTTCACTGAAATAGAATTTAATCCATGCTTGTATGCTGCACACACTTATCTTTTTTATAAGTGTTTAACAGCCTAATTAGCTGCACTTTTTCCCCCAGTTATGTAAGCTATGATACAGAGTGTTTGGAATCAAGAACAACAAAGGCTTTCCATTCTATTAGCTTTCATTTTCTTAAACTTCCTTGCTAAATGTGTTGTGAATTCTTTTGTATGAATCTTGAAAATATATATTTTTTCTGCAGCAAGTGTCAGAGGGTGGTGTAGGAGACAGCAGTGGAGATCGTTCAGAGGAGGATGAGGAGGGGAAGAATGGAGAGGAGACCAAGACCTGCTCCAACTGTACCATCCCTGCCTCAGTGCTCAATGAGTCACCCAAGGGTCTTCAGTGTTTCACTTGCTACAACCACTGGAAGTAAGTTTAATTTATACCATCATAATGTTATCCAGGAAAAATTTCTCTTCATTTTAGAACTGAATGAACTGTGTTGACTGAGGATATGTACAGTTGGCAGCATAGGAAGTGAGAAAATTTGTGGCCAACAGAAACAGCTGGCATCTCCTCGAGTTTGAAGACCGTATTTTTCATGAATGAATCACTCCAACCCGATGAATTAGAGTGAGTCATTCATGAAAAAATACTGCCAACTACCTCGTGGAGATGCCATATGTCTCTGTTGGCCACAAATTTTCTCACTTCCTATGCTGCCAGCTGTACATTCAATTTTATAGGAAAAAGGTATACCGGTAAAAACATTAATTATCATATATACTCGAGAACAGTTCGAGTTTTTATAATCAAGTTTTTACGTATAATAGTTTTGCAGGGTTATAATTCATGCATTTCTGTGGGCCACTTACAGTGAACGAAAGCTACCTGGTCTCGGTACATGCTCACGGTAGGCTAACCTTACCAGTAAGCTCCTTCAACCTGGAATTTTGCCTACCATACTCCTAGATTCTTTCTTTATGTTGCTACATGAAGAACAGAACCTCATTCACTATATATGCCACTTTAAATGTACAATATCTGATACAAATGAAGATTTGCAGATAATTTCCCTTTCACTTGTTTCTGGTTACATCACTGGTAGCATTGCTGCCAAGTTAGACTCGTCACTGTAGCCACATTTCTCTAGCCCTCTGCCTATAAGGCCAAGCTGTGCACTTTGTTGTGGTTATTTTTCAACTTGTAAATTTGGATAGATCATGTAATTTTCTTAAAATTTTTGTACTTGGTTACATGTACACACAACTTACGTACAGAATGTGTAAATATAAATAAATAATTATCATAAGATCAAAAACATAAAGAGAGTAAACATTTCTTTGTGCATGAGTGTTAGCATGCTGAGCTGGGGAAGGGAGTGGAGTCCGGGATTCCAACTGTTCGCTGTCTCCAGAGTCCTGTATGTAGTGATATGATTGATAAATACTTCGTCGTGCAACAGCCAAATGGCAGTGCTCTTTTTTTCTTTTTTTCTTGTTTTTCCTTACATTTACTGGTACAGTATATGTTATTTTTATCTTATTCCTCACAATTAAATACAGTAGGGTCGCAGAGTACGTGCACCCATACTATGCGACCGTGCCTATAGACCCCCCCTGAACCACGTGAGCCAACCACCCAGCATCTCTCACTAGCTCAGCATGTTTATCACTTGTCTCTGCTTTTTGAGAAAAATAAAAATGAAATTGGTTTGAAATTTAAACTAAATTGTTGCATTTATTGTGACAGCTTAATAAAATAAATATTCAGTATTATTATTACGGGGAACCTATGGATGAGGTGGCCTGTGAGATGGTTATGCATGTTGCCATTGTTACATGTAACGAAACTAAAAATTTTGGAAAATCATTAGCATATTCTAATGAGACTTAAAAGTAAAGAAAATATAATATAAAATTATAAAATAAGAAAAATGAAGAGTATGGGTGTGTATGTGTGGGACGTGATCGTGTGTGTGAAAGCAGTGGGCTGTAACTGCGTCGCTATTCGCCAGCCAAGCCGCTCTCCCTCCCCAATGTAACATCATGGCAGACACACAGTGCGGCAGCAGCCACACTTTTCTTGAGTCAGCTGGGTGACTGCCTGGTTGAACTGTGTCGTGTCGCCCAGAGGATGCTTTGAGTGTGGAAGGAGCTATTTATTGTAGCTACTTAAAATATGTTCTATTGTATTTTATGATATCGTACGTATTAATTTTATTGTTTATCATAAAAATTTTTGCTAATTTTTGACGTATGCAATTTGAAATTTGTTAAAATTATGCTAACTTTGTGCTCAATACATCGTTTAACTCAGAACCACATTGTTTATATATAGTGGAATAAGTGTTAAAGAACTGTCCCATAGTATGGCATTGGAGTGTAAGTTTGAAACAATAAAGATTTATGTTGTACAATTAGATTAGTTTTTTAGCAAATGATTAAAAAAATATAATATGTTTTAATGCTTATTCAGCCAATCCTTGCCTTTTGTAAATTTGGCCATGGTGAGATACTGTACCAATTAGCACAAATTTGTGAGGTCAGCCTGTATACTGTATATAAGATCACTTAATACACTTATATATGTTAATTTTTTTTGCAAAATCGGTTATTTTGCAAAATTCCCAGCATGCATATTGGTAATTTTGTAAAATAACTTACAAACAGACACCTAAACTAATCTAACCTTATGCTTAAGTTAAGTGAGAGGTTAGGTTACATTGGGTTAGGTTAGGATGGCTCATGTAGATTGATACACAGTTAAGTGGTCCTTTTTTTTTTTTTTTACTTTGGTTAGCCTGTTTGTAAGTTATTTCACAAAATTACCAATATGTATGCCGTGAATTTTGCAAAATAACCGATTTTGCAAACAAGCGTAACATATATACGGTATGCAAAATATTGATATGATCTTAATTCTTTCTGTGATTATTGCCTACAAATAACTTTTAATGAAATTTACAGTAATTGTCAAGTGAATAGACTGGGATTTTACAGGAAAACGGGCAGCTTACGACCAACTGTGGGACCCATGAAGAGAGACAAGCAGTTGATAAAACACAAACGCCGTCCACCTCGTGGCATGCATATTAACCATGAAGTGAGTGACTGTCTTCTTTTTCTTTAATTGGCAACATAGTAAAATATATTTTTTATAATCTTGCAAAGCTTTTACCACAATTACATGAATAAAGAAGTAACACAGAGGCCATTCACCTTCGCTTGCCTCAGTAACAGGTGTGTCATGTTAAGTTATTTCCTTCCATAATGAGGCTCCATGTTGCCTATCTAGGTTATCCCTTGTTATATCTGAAACTAACAGCTGCCTGTCTGTTCACAATATCCTCTCTATGCTGTTCTCTCAAGGCATTCATGCTCACCAATGTTTCCTGGAGTAGCATAACGTTCTCTTCTTGTACAGCCTTCGGCTCTTACAGTACCTTCCAGCTCCTTTTTGGTCCATCCATCTCTGAATAATTTTTTTTTCCGACCTTCCACTCTTCTTACTCTCATGTTAACAGGTTTTTTGTTTGTTTTTCAGTTGTTTACAGGTCTTTCTTTTTATCCTCTTCAGGACTTAATGGCCATGGTATCCTCTGGCCCTCCCGGTCCCCCAGGGACCCTCACCCCCGGCCAGCAGTTGTTGCGTCACATGGAGAACGAGGTCATTGCTCTCAAGCGCCAGGTCAGCTAATTCTCAGCTTTGAGTCAGTGATGTTTAATTCAATGTCATTCTAATACTACAGTATTCTTATTTCGATAACACCTGTATCATCTTGCTGATGAAATTAAGTGGATTCTTTGTTAGAATTTTTCACCAAAACTTTTAAGTAGTTTTAATGTGGTATTTTAGGTGCAAAGCAACAAGGCTCAGATCAGTGGCCTCCGGAGTAAAATAGCAGATGATGGGATAACTCCGTACCGTCCACCAGCACAGGCAGGACCTACCAAGGCCAAATGGTCACAGGAGGAACTTCTATTGGCAGTTCAAGGTGAGCAATGTAAATTTTTTTAATTTATACTGATATACAGCTGATAGATGATGTTGGGATGTGTGAAGAGAGAGAAACTAGAGAAATCTTAGGGGTAATTGTGGGCAAGGCAGATATTAAGATATATAGGTTCTGTGTGTAAAGAGAGATAAAGATAAATAGAGAGAGAACATATTGTACGCATTAGATTTACCATGGAAGCTCAAGATGTAACTTCGTGAATAAAATGAATAAAACCCTCCAGCTTAGTTAACACTGACAAGGAGCTGCTGCATGCTTCACAAACTATTAAATTAGAGGGACATCTAGTATGGCAGGAAATATGGGTAAATTTCTTTATCTTGAAAAGGTTTTTCACTTTATTTTAAAAAAGGGCATCATAAATGAAGATAAAATATTCCTTTAGCTTGAATCAGGAGCTAATTTTGTAAAGAGTTTTATATGTGAATGACCGTAAGTCAGACTACATAACTCAGGGCTTTACTGTTTACAGTTGTGAAGTTTTATGTTTCTTGGTATACTATACATTGATTATCTGATAAGTTTTTGAACAGCAACAGGTTTAATGACTTTTTCCCCCCTCTTTCTTTCTCAGCTGTTCGGTACTTTGGAAAGGACTTCAAGGCAATCGCAGAAATTGTGGGCAACAAAACAGAGAATCACGTACGCAGCTTCTTTGTAACATATCGAAAGCGTTATAACTTGGACGGCGTCTTAAGAGAGTGGGAAGAAGAACACGGCCCGGTAAAGGCAAATACAGACGAGTAACTGATTTATAGAAGTGGAAAGCCTAGTACCATAAAACCTTGTAGTTATTATGTGAAGGAAAAGAAGAATGTAAGTTTGTTGCTTGAATGTTATGTTTGGCGTCTTTTATGATAATTCAGGGAAAAAAAGTACTCTCAACCACTTGTGACACAGATTAAAGCAGGGGAGAATATTGTCCAGAAGTAGTCCATAAGGCTCCCAAAATTGTTGAGTGGTTGAGTTTAATTTCATAATACTGTAGAGGGGAAATCAGTAGTAGAGACATTTTAATTATTTACCTCAGTTACATGCAGACTACAATGTTTCATGTAATAGAACACATTCATATTTACGTCCTCTTAGTTGATTTTGGGATTTTGTTTGTGATCTCTTCAATCTTTATTATTTATCTTCACCATTACAGTGTTGTACAGTATATCACTTTTCTTCTGTTTCTTTATTGAAATAGTGAATCTCTGCCTGAGCTACTGATTAAAATTGCCAGTCTTTGATGAAGAGCTTTAATGGTTTCACCACCAGAATGTCCCAGTGAAGAGTACAGTACAGTACTAATTTTGTGGAGATAATTACATCACCAGCTGTGTAAGTGGGCTGTGTCCAAAAAAACTAACACAATTTTTATTCATTCTTTAGTTGTTTTTTTATTAAAATACGGCAAAGGTGTATATATCTATCAATGCTTTATTAAGCTTAGGATTGATAGTTTAATGGAAACATAAATGAGGAAATTCATATAACTCATATTACAGGTATTAACATTTTGACATTTACGTAAAAGTCGGAGGCAAATATGGCAGTGTGATTTAAATCTTGAAAATTAATTTATCCATAATGAAAGATGTGTTTTCTTAATAGATAACAGCACACTGTATATGCTGATGTTTGTGTTAAGAAGGAGCTCTCTAGGATATTATACAGTACAGTACATGTACAGGGGTGTTTAAAAAAACTGTTTTGCATCTATACTCTTGGCATACATGAAAAAGTTCCTTGTATTGTAATAGGCAATTTCTTAATCTTCAAATACAGTTCAAGATTTGTTATGCATGATGTGTGTGTATCCAGTGAGTCAGATGCTCTCCTGTGTTAGGACATGATAGGCAGGACCTACTCAACTAGCTGGGTGAGTCTTGTTATGGTGTCTTATTTAACCTTAATACTTGGAAATAATCAGAGTAACATCAGTGACAGCTTAGAAATCAAACCCACATTAAAGGATAAAGTTCTTTTTAAAACAATACACTTCTGATGCCCATTGGAATTTTTAGATGAGTTCAAGAATATAATCTCAATCTTGCACTTGCAACTGACAAGAGTGACAGTGAGTATAAGAGCTATATTGTTTATATATGATTTTTCTGTCTTAATAAGGGTTAGATTTAAAGGATTAAAGTTACAGGTGTAATACATGCAGCTCGGTCAACTTTCCAGGTGATAAGCCATTGATTTTTATTGCCAGAAAATGTTGTTCTCTGAGCTACTGTGTCACCAACACTATTTAGAAAAATTTATTACTCCACTTTGTGGATTGTATATATTGTACAAGACTATAACATATAATTTATTTTATTATATAATTTTGTATGTTCAGCTCATTTGTGTTGTCCATACTCAGTGTACAGTATCATGAAGTCAACAGTTCCTTCATGGCCAAGTTGTCAGTTGTCTCCCTCCCTCTTGAAATGGGTTTATAATTATGGCTTTTAGTAAAATGATAAAGTTCAAGTATACCAAAGTGGCCACCACTGTCTTGTTATAAAATATCCAAAATAAAGTGTAATTTCTTGAACTGTGAAGAGTGTTCTCCTGTTGCCCCACAGACAGTACTTGTCTGTAATTTAACTATATTTATGTGATTTGTTTATTATGTAGCATATTTTATTACACAAGTGATAAAATCTCCACATTTTGCTTTTATTCTTTGAAAGCTTCAGATTTTCATTTCACACATTAGTATTCATTACATATCTGTAGATGATCACCTAAGAATCTCCATCCCAGCTTATTTCACCTAAAGATTATCCACCCTAATTCTAACCTAACCTAACTTATCCGAACCTCATCCCCCCAGATAGTGTTAGGGTGGTTAATCTTTAGGTGAAATAAACTGGGGTGGAAATTTTTCAGGTGATTGCATATAGGTGTTAAAACTTTCACCAGTACAAGTGCGTATATGAATCTACATTTTGTTAAAACTTGAATCACCGTGTCTCTGGTCATATGGTCATAACATTTTACAGGGTGCCAACCAGAAAGGTGCAATGACGCTTATCAACCAAAAGTGTTTCAATTGATAGTTGTCAGAGAGTTGTATGCCCTCTGTCCTCAATGGTGTATTATTGTCTCTTTGGAAAGTTGGAGCTCAGATATTGAATGGTCAGGCGTGATTCGTATCCTACTTCGAATACTGTACTTTAATGCTGTTACAGAATCTGTGAAGAAGCAATATTTCGACATCGTTATTATTACAGTATTTAATCGTTATTCCTCAGTACCTACCTGAAGTGTGTACAACTTTATTTTATTTTATTTTATACATCATAGCCCTTTCCTTCCTAATGCAGGGTGTTGAGAAACAAGAGAAAATACTTAAATTTTTTCCTTTTATTTTTTTTTTCTTTCATCCATTCTTACTGCTGTCAAAGATATATTCTTCTATGGTAAATACACTTTCCACAACAAGGCCCCATAATCTGTTTTAATGGTCACACATTAGCCAGTAGTACACTTCAGCTGCCTGTCCTTTTTCGTACACACACTGCCGGCTCTTGAATCTCTGCCCCCCCTCACTTCTAGGGCGTCCTTTATGCCGGTCTTCAATCTCCTGAGTCTTGGTCTTCTCACCTTTTTACCATCTATTTCTTGAATTATTTTATTCCTTTACCAATCTTACCTTTATCATTTTCACAGTATTTCCTTTAAACCTCAGCAAACCCTGATCAGCTTTCTGTCTAGAGCTCATGTAATTTCTGTATCTGTCTCTTTATCTCTCTCATACAAAGTAGAGAGAAAGGGGAAGACTGAAGAGGTGGAAGGATGGGGTGGAATAAGTTTTAGAAGTGAGGGGGGATGGAAGTACTACAGGGAGCAGCGCGTGTAACTAATGAGAGAATATAACATTGCTTGGTTTTCCTGTATGTCACAGCATTTAGAGTGAAGGGGCGGGAGTTTTGGTTCTTGATTCTGGCCTTTTACATTATGATATGATAAGGCTTGTGAGAGTATTGACACACACACACACATTTCCCCAGGGTTTTAAATGCTACTGTATCTCCTTTACCGGAAAAAGCATAATAGTTAATTTAATGATCTTTGAAATTTTTTTTTTTCACTCACAATAATGTATAAGACATTTTCTCAGGCTTCATTGATCATCTGAACATCAAGTATATTTCATCTTCTCATCGTACCATCAGTAAGCATTTGTACATAATTACATCACACATCTTAAGACTGATGATATATTCCTATAGGCATTTCATTAAACTATCATTGTCAATATCTTTCTTTGTTTTGCACTCTGATAACCCCGTTTTATATATTGTGTGTTATCGTAGCAAACTCATCATCATATCATTAAATGTACTTTGTTTTTAGTCTTATTTGCCATAAATTGCTCATGTGAGAACTTATGATAAGGTGTATATGTATTTTGATAAATCCCCAGGAGAATTATTGTAATATTTCTGACAGTACGGTTTAAGGCCTTTGACCTATCTGTGTCTGTATCATGGTTCATTATACTGTATTCAGGGTAATTTTTTTTTATTTGAGAATGATCCTATAGTACTTCAGAATCTTAATGAGAGCCTGCGATTCAGTGAAGAAGAAAGACGAAATGATATAGACTTGCCTTTTCCAAGTACGTAGTAATTATTTGTAGATTACAGTTGTGAAGAGATGATTTAGTGTGACATGTATACGTATATTGCCAGGCTGAAGGTTTTGTGATGGAGCAGTTTCTTGTTAATGCAAGAACTGTAATTACTATTTTAAAAATTTTCTGTGTGTGGAACATTGACATTTTACAATGATTACTTTCTTTCACTACTTTATTTAAACTTTATTATTATTTTATTTGTACAGTAATGCATGACTCCATCAAGGGGATGGTTGTGACAATGGCCTTTAGCTGCCCTGATGCTTCTTCCCTCTTTACTCTTTATGTTCACTTGCCAGTTTTCTCAATTATGTTTTCCTCCATCTTCATCTCCTTGATATCAGACTAAAAATACCTTCATTTAATATCAGGGGAATTATGCAGCATTAGTGTTTTGAGGATACTATGTATTTTACCCCATATGCCCATTAGAGATAAACAGTGAGTTGGTCACTGCTTATCACTCTCAGCATTGGCAATCAACTCCGTAAAACTGACTACCAAATGATTACAGTATGTGATTAGTCACTTAATATTCAGGAATAAAAATGATATGCTAGCAGTACTGTATATACTGTTTTACACTCTACTGAGTTACTATTTCACTCAACTTTATTTTCAAATAATCACTTAAAAGACACTTTTGTTACTGTATTCATTCTTGAATTTTTTAAACTGTGTCCCAGTATTATTAATGTGCAGACAACAAATAAACCATCCCACAGAAGTAATTAATACTGTAGTGTATAAAGCCCTGGTAAAACCCTTACTCTGGGTAACTGTAACATTTCTCACGTGGAAACCAATAGAAAACAAAGTCTCGTCTTCATCCTGATAACATTAACCCCCTTGTGTATGGGGTCCTCCCTCTGCTGAATAAAATCATCTGACATTAGTCAAATAAAATTTTAAAAATGGCATCCCAGTAGTGAAGGGGTTAATGTTAGTGATAATATAGTATACTGTCTTGGTTATTTATGTCTCCGCCCATTATGGATACAGCAAGTTTCAGTAATTTGTTTGACAGCTTTCTTTTATTGTTAATAATTTTACTGCATTTAGTAAGTGCCATTTATTCTTAACATTGTTCATTATATTTTTTATAATGATCTTTCTTTGCCAGATATAATTAATTTTGTGGGTAAAAGTTCTCTCATTTTCAATATTTCTCTGAATAGTTCACACACTTGTTAGTATGGACTCTGTGAAATTCATATGATGTTAGTGTAATGTATATTGTTCTAATGCTCCCTGAAAGAATCATGATGGAACTTTACACAAATATGTATTAGATGAAGAGAATATGTCACCTCTAAATATAGGATGACATGTCAAAGGTCAATATTGTAGACCAGGTAGATCAACCAGTCTGTTGGCTTCAATGCTTCTCTAAACATTTTCTTAATTGTAGTCTTCAACTCTATACTTTTTAACTTTCCCAATAATTACATTATAGTAAATCCTGTCCAATGAGCAATTTGTAAGTCCACAGCCCATTGAATTGTAGTACAAAATCTGCACAGTGCTTGCAATCCTGAGCCTCCTGCAGTGTGAAACTGAAATACTTGTATACACGAGAAAGTTTAAAGTGTTTTCTGGCTTAATAACTTGCTAATGTTTTCTTGTACTACAGGATGTTTATATGATGGAGTTTCCTTGCCTTCAAAGAATCCACTCCTCCACCCTCTCCATTCAGACAGGATTTATTTATAAAACCATTTGGGTAAATTATCCACCATTTCCCCAACCCCCCCCCCCCACACCCTCATCACAACTATTGTCCCCAAATTAGGTGAGATCAGGTGCAACAGGTAGTGACAGAAACAGATGATTAGTGGTGAATGGCCCTGGGACAAAAAAAGGCAGAGTCATAGCTTTGGTGTGAAGTGTGATGATGAGCCAGACACAGTTTAAAAAATTACTGCCCCCTAAGGACAGCTGTTGTACCCAGTCTCCCTTGTTTGGAGCCAGTGGGTGGGAGAGGGAGAGGTGGGTTATAACTTTACCTAAATTAGATACATTTGAGTGGTAGTGAGAACATAGATTAAAAAAAAATCACAATCAATCCCCATTTTTCTAGGGAAATTATAGCATTAATCGGTAGAAAGGTATTCAATCCTCCTCAAGTAAACATTGTGTATTACTTAAAATCACACTACATTAAAACACCCTTTGGATACTGAAAGTTCATACATCAGGAAGGCTTTTTCCATGAGTTTATAGGGAATCATTAGGGATTCATTCTGGGCAGTCTTTCCAAACCTTTTCCTATCCTAAAAACATGTGAACAATAATAATAAAGGTATGTAAAAAGATGTAAAGTAAACAAATAATAATAATATAATAAGCAATAATTCAGTTGAAAGAAAAAATAATAATGTGCCGGAGTGACAGCACTAGGATCCCGCTTCCTCTATCAAGGAATAAACAATTGAAATTGAAATTGAATGCCGGATAGGAAAATATTAGTGACGTTGTAAATGTTAAAATTGGTTGTGAAAGGGTTATCACTACTCTTGTAGTTGCACTAAAGTTACAATCATGTCTATAACTCTTTTAATATTACAGTACTGTATATAATAATGAAAAACTACGGTTTTGGGGTCAAAGTTGTGATTCACATATTGGGCCTCTGCGAGCTAATGCTCTCTAACACTCGTACATCCCAGATTACCCCCTAAATACTGTGCATGTATCTCAGCAGGGTGTGTAATGTAAGAATGTGGATAAGCTATGTGTTAAGATGGATGGTATTGAGGTACAGGTAGTGCAGGTCTTTCTCAGTGAAAGGTGATGAGGTGTGGTCACTTACAAGTCTCTAGGGTGCCCCCCACTAGTAGACGGTCCTCCTCACCAACAATCTACTAAGGCCTTGTTAATGCAACACAGTATAAATAAGTAACACTAGAGAGTCCTGCTGAATCAATTTGAGGGATTATTTGTGGAATACTATACAGTACTGTATTGGCATATGTAGTAGACCTGTCCTCTCCCCCACGTCCCAACTATTTTTATATCTTCTCTCATTTTGCTTCGTTCTTGATGTTTTCACCATAGACATGGTTGATTTATAAAGAGCAATATTAACTTCAATGTGACTGTAGGAGTGTAACTCCTGTACTTTGATTATTGTAGATCACCCATAAATGTCTTTGCTCCTTTCCACATTAAAATGGATTGCCTTTATTATTATGTATGTGATATGGCCTCTTCCTTCTCAGGTTTTTGTCCCAATGACACTTGTTTTGTGTTACTTCCTTGAATTAGTTATACAGTCTCTCCTCTACTTACGACAACCCGGATATACGACGGCCATGGTCGTATAAAATATATTTCACATTACGTATTTTTGAGTCCCGATGCTAGTGATCGCGCTGTGGACTCACAGAATTTTAGTTTGTAATTCCCTTTAAAATGGCTGGCAAGCGTAAAAGTGAGAGTTCTCGTGGTGCTGAGAAGAAAAAGAGACACCCATTTTAGAATTTCTATGTATTATTTTTGCCTTTTCGACTTATGACCAAATTGACTTACGACCTGGTCGTCGGGACGGAACCACTTTGTAAGTCGAGGAGAGACTGTACTGTATTTGAGGGAGTGTGACTTCTCCTCCCTATGTAATCAGGGGTGAAATAAGCAGTACAGTATTTCATTGTATTTTGCAACAGAAAACTTATGAAGTGCAGCTGAAAATGTGAAATCACATAGCAATGTTTGTGATTCATTCATCATTGCATTGCAAGTACAGTAATGTAATTAATTTTTCCAAATGATCTCGTCCCTTGGTGTTGCTATTTCACACACACACATAGTTGCCCTTAAAAAGTTTTGCATGTAAGGAATTTTTTAACAACCAGAAGGATCATGAGCTCCCTGATTGGACTTGTCATTGGTGATCCAACAGTAGTGCCTGAAGTTTGTGTATAGTGTATTGTACAGGGATGCTACCTGGTTGGTTGACTGATAAACTCATTTTAACAGTTCTTTATATAATTCTTGGTAAAATAATATCCTCTGGGATTACTATCAAAAGTTCCTGTGAGTGTTGTGTGTATCTGAGTATTGGTGCTGAGAGCCACTTCAACCTTAGGATTTGGCAGGGAATCTGTGTTTATCATATACTTGTGGTACATGACTGGCAGAAAAGTTGGGATGTATAGCTCATGTGTTGAGTCATACAGCACCTGACATCTGTGTGTGAAGCGCAGATTAAGTGCCATGAGCTGTATATCACTTGATAGGTGATGTGATGTCCGGGCTATATGTGTTGAGTTCTGTTGCATAATATTTGCCTTGAAGTAGAGGTTTCACATGCAGGTTGTGAGTGTTTGATCCATAGTGCATATGACTTTTAGATGTGTATTGTGTATTAAGACACACTACATGAATTACAATAACGGGATAATATGCTGGTCACGTTTACTGAACCTTCCAGTGCGTGACGAGAAGTAGAGATGTAACATACAGGTAATGTGTGTTGAGCCAAGCTGCTTGTGATAGTAGTAGAGGTGTAATGTTCTGAGCACATGCATTGAGGTACACAGTGCATGACTTGCAGTAGAGGTGTTATGTAATATTAACAGTAAACCTTAGGGAATTCCTGGCAAATTTATTTTGGGTAAAACCAATACTGTACTATAATTGCTTTCAAGCTGTGCAAATAGATGTATTTTGTAGTCTCACAGGAAAATAGATTAGATTATTTATGTTGACTATTTATTTGACATATACAGTACAGTACATAAGTACTGTAATGTATGAATGTGAATATTAAACATTAGATGATGCTCACACCCCATGGTTATTGTATGATTCTCATCAGTGGCAGACTTCCAGCTCACTTGGATACATAGGACTTAATGGGTATTTTCTGCTGAGTAAGAGACGTGGTGAAGAGTTGCAGTCTGGTAAAAACGTTTTTTCACTTACTCGTAGGTAATGTGGCAAACTAAGTTGAAAAGTTTCAACAAGAATTTTTTTGGAAATTACTAATCAGTACAGTACAGTACTATACTTAGTCTACTGCATAACCAAGCCTGTACAGCTGTAGGATTAGAGCTGTGTCTCATGGATTGGGCATCCAGTGTTACCAACTAAGCAATGTTTCCCTAAAGAAGAATCAATTATTACTGTAGTTCCTTTCAGTTGCAATAAGTAATGATTTTAGTTTGCTCTTAGAGTACATACCATTTTTCTATGCAGTATAAGGCCTTGAAGGTTTATATTATTTTTTTATTTTGTTTTGTTTTGATAGATATCTGTATAATATTTTATTGGGGTCTTTTTGCTGTACTGTATGTGTTAATGTTAGCAAACTGGTATCAGTACTGTACAGTATGTTGTGAAGGTATTTTGTCCAAACGTTTTGACAGTGTTATGTTAACACCAAATAGCTGTTTTAATCCATTTCATAATCATAATTACTATTCAGGAATAACAAGGGCTGTTTTTATTACCACTGAGTTGATAAGAACTCAGTACTGAAATAACTTTGTATATCACAACAAATTAAGAGTGAAATAATGTACCTGTATATTATAACTCACTTGAATATTATACTTTCATAAAAATCCTTTTTATCTTGCTTCCCCTTTTCAGAAAAAATCCTAGTTTCTAGGGTAACCAAATTAGTTGCTCGTTTGAAGCCTAAATGAGATTATCAGTCTTGGTGACAATATATGTACAGTAGTTTGTATTGTGTGTTTCTCCTTGCAGTTGTAGCCCTCTCCTGTTGCTCTATACAGTACCTGTTTCATGTACCACCACTCTCCCTTTATATTTCCTTTTTTTATTGAGGTCTGCTTCCTATGATTCACCATTTGCAAAAGTAAGAGAGGATAAGAGATAATACAGTAGTTAGGTCTCATGATGTGAAACTTATGTATATGAATATAAATTGGAAGACATTAGAAAAATACTTAACTACAATCAGTACGTACTGTAGTGAGAATTGCCTATTACAGTATTTTTCAGTACAAGCAACTGATGCTGTTCTCAGCTAGCAGGCAAGGTAGGAAGCTTTAGGCAGGAAATATGACAGATTGACTCACCAGTGTCCAAGAATAACCAATGAAGACAGTTACAGTATTTAAATCTAATCTCACCTGACTCAGATAATATTGTACAGTATTTGTTATTTGGGTTGACTATGTATGGCTGTGTTAAGCTTCACTCTAGCTCTGTTGTTAGATATTTGCTGTGTTGGAAGGTTTCATAGATTTGTACATATTTACAAATCAAACGTATAGATTGGCTGAAATACAATCAACTGTGACTTCTAAAATTCGAGTATGATTTTTTCTGATTTGAAGAGATATAAATTTTGTCTTGACTTTTCATTTGTTTTGTAACTTCCTGGCTCGGTTATGAGTTTACTAAGTAATACAGCATTTGTCTATAAGTGCAACAACATCATACAAAAAAATAATTGCAAATTGGTTATGTTTTTCTTGGTACAGTATTGACATTTGAGTACAAGATCAGGTATGTCAGTTTAAATTGTCTGCATCCAAAAGGTTTAAATATGATTAAATTGATGGATGAAGAAGCATTTCCCCTGACTATAACTTATCTTGTGCAATAAACATGAACCTAAAATTCACTAGGAATAAAGTCTGATCATTGTGATGGACATTTACAACAAAACAAATGAGAAATGCTGGAGGTATATTCTTCTCAATGATACGATCAGTCTTCATTCATTCTGATTTTTAGGTTCCTTTTTAATGCACATCCAAAAATATATAGTACAGGTAATCATATAGTGTACTTGAATAAAAAGATTACCCTGTATTTGGTGTTCTCTAACTTTCCAATTTCTTTGTGTTTCATTAATCTTTCTGAGAATAACTTGACACATGCCACTTTCAGATGTTTATAATAGTTCCTTCACTGAAGTATAATTGTAATCCAGTAATAACCTGAGACCAGTAATAATCTGAGACCAATAATAACCTGAGACCAGTAATGACCTGAGATGACTTATTTGTTGTTGTTGTGTTACACGTTGTTGCTCTTATTTTTGGTGCCTCCTTACATTGTCTCAGTTATTATTAAAAGTTTCCAAAGGTTTGTCACATAAAATAATGTTACAGCAATATTTGTATACCGACACCATGTTGAATTTCGTACGTATGAGTGTGTGTGTGTGTGTGTGTACCGGTATGTATGTGTGTGTGCTGATAACACAAGTTCACATCACATTACACATTTTTTCTGTTCTTATGTAATTATTTGTGTGTGATATTTAAATGAGTCACTTTATCCGTAAGTATTGTACAGTTAAAAATAAATGATGCCTCTGATGTGAGATTTTATCATTTCTTTCCTCTAAAGCAAAGTTGGTGGTCTTACTAGTATCCAAGAGAGAGAGAAAGAAAAGTGAGTGAGAGAAAGAGACAGTTAAACAAAGAGAGACACACAGACAAAAAGAGACAAACAGAAAGAGAGATAGACAGACAAAAAGAAAGTCAAACCTACAAAGAGATACTGACTGACAGGCAGAGTAAGGTAGAGACAGACAGAATGAACCAAATAAGATAAGGAAAAGAAAGTCTTACCTCAGAGTGTGCTATAGTTATTCTAGTTAATATAAATACAGTAGACGACATTTGCGGGTTTGTGATTTGCAGTACCGGTAAGCAAATGGTGGCTATGGTGGCTAACTTGTGAGCCTTTTCCCACAGCATTATGTACTCTCAAAACCTACAGGGAAGTGTTTCTGTGTGAAAATGGCCCCTAAAAGACTGCCTAGTGACAGTGCTAATGATGCTAGTGAAGTGAAACGTAAAAGGCAGAAGTCAGTGATGATCCTGACAAAGAAAGTTGAATTATTAGACAAGTTAAAGGAAGGGATGAGTGGTGAAGAGCTGGTTGATTGTTTGGTATAGATGATATACAGTAGTGCACTAAGGTAGTATAAGTTGCTATTCACACCATTCCTTGGAACCTAGCCCCCACAAATAATAAGAGTTTACTGTATATTTTTTTAATCATTACAACAATAAAAAAAAAAATCTTGAAAATTTAACATAGATGCCATTATTTTGTCCAATATTTCCCAAATCACAATACAGTGTACAATATTATAGAGCTCGTTTTTTCCCTCTGGAGCTTGTTGTCACACTTCACCTAAATCATGAAAAATCTGCGGCTCTCCCCTTGAAAATTAATCTGAACTCAGAGCCGTTCTCAAACTTTAGTGAGTGTAAGGATAATCAAACAATCTACAACCAGTGTAAGGATAATATAACAATCTACAACCAGTGTAAGGATAATATAACAATCTACAACCAGTGTAAGGATAATAAAAAATCTACAACCAGTGTAAGGATAATATAACAATCTACACCCAGTGTAAGGATAATATAACAATCTACAACCAGTGTAAGGATAATATAACAATCTACAACCAGTGTAAAGATAATAAAACAATCTACAACCAGTGTAAGGATAATAAAACAATCTACAACCAGTGTAAGGATAATAAAACAATCTACAACCAGTGTAAGGATAATATAACAATCTACAACCAGTGTAAGGATAATAAAACAATCTACAACCAGTGTAAGGATAATAAAACAATCTACAACCAGTGTAAGGATAATAAAACAATCTACAACCAGTGTAAGGATAATAAAACAATCTACAACCAGTGTAAGGATAATATAACAATCTACAACCAGTGTAAGGATAATAAAACAATCTACAACCAGTGTAAGGATAATAAAACAATCTACAACCAGTGTAAGGATAATAAAACAATCTACAACCAGTGTAAGGATAATATAACAATCTACAACCAGTGTAAGGATAATAAAACAATCTACAACCAGTGTAAGGATAATAAAACAATCTACAACCAGTGTAAGGATAATATAACAATCTACAACCAGTGTAAGGATAATAAAACAATCTACAGTCAGTGTAAGGATAATGTAACAATCTACTGTAGTGTATTGTATGTAGCCAGTTGTCAAATTTCTCTTTGTTAGGCTTGTAGTGGATACTCTCCCCTACAACTACAACTGCCGTTTGTCGCTGACCAGCCGATCCCTTGTCGAGTTTCCCAGCCAGAGCCTCGTGGTCTTACAGAGGGGGGTCAGCTACTAGCGACGTCTACCTCCTCCTATATAAAGCTCCCAGCCAAGCCGTGACAGCCCTTCTACCTGAGCCCCGCAACACCTCTCTCTACCCCACGCTCTCGAACCAACAAGACCTCTCAACAAGCTCCTCAACCAACGCCTCCTCTGAACGAGCTCCTCACCACACAGCAACTCTCTAGCACTGCATTGTACATACAATATATATAAAGAAAACGCCATTGTGAGTTTCCCTTCTTACCTCCATCCTGAGTGCGAGACAACATCACGAAACCCCACAGGCTCACATACATACGTACATGTAGGAGATCTCGCACTAAGGATGGAGGTGAGAAAGGAAACTCACAATGGCGTTTTCTTTATATATATTGTATGTACAATGCAGTGCTAGAGAGTTGCTGTGTGGTGAGGAGCTCGTTCAGAGGAGGTTGTAGTGGACTTCTCCCCTACAACTGCGTATCCGCATTCCAATGCGACAGTATCCTAGCAACCAAGCGAGCGGCGACAGCAGATGTTACCGTAACCTAGCAACGAACCAAAGACCGGCGACTTTCTCGGGTTTTCCCAACATGACTCATAGAGGACTCACGGCTGCGGGGTATATAAGCTCTGTCTCTCCATTGAGATTCATTCTACCCATCTTCCTGAACACGCAACACCTCCTCCAGCAAGCTCCACGCTGTCCAGCTTTCATTCAACCAGGAGGCCAGCAACAGGCAACATCTTCTCTAACGAAGCTCCTGCACATCTACCTCCTTCAACACGCTACTCACCGAACGTCTCTACTGAGCAGCTCCTCACCACACGGCACCTCCAGCACCAGACTGTATATCATATAACTTATATTATATAAGAAAACCACATTAGAGTTTCCATCCATCCTGAGTGCTAGACAACATTATACCACGAATTCCTACAAGGTATTTTCTGTTTGAAAGCGTTAAGTAGAATGACCTTCGGGTCGGTCGGTGATACGGAGAGAAGAGAGCATTAGCTCTGAGGGTGCAAGAAGGGTACAGTACGGCGGGGGTGTTCAGATTCAGATTTGCCCCCGAGGGGGCTAGTTTATTGGGCACCCCCTTACATCCTGTTCAAGGTGAAGCGCAGAAGCGTTTACAGTGCCCAACAGGGAAGTATGAAAAGTTCATACTTGCCTTTATGACTCGTACATTAAGGGCGTAAAAGCCTGAAGGGTCATAGGTTCTGTCAAGTTACATAAAGTGAGAGAATGATGAGTGTGTGGGGGGAAAGTTCCCGGTACAATTCATCTGTTTATAGCAAAGCGTGGCAGGTCCCTAGTGCCAGGCCTGTGACGAGGAGGGGAGAGGTGTGAAGTGAGCGGCGCTGCTGATTGGCTGAGGTGAAGGCAGTAAAGGGCCAATCACTGCGCAGTCCGAAAGTGAGGTCCATCACATTCGGAACTCGCCATTGGTTGGCTGGTAAGTGATCAACCAGCAGTTGTAGGGGAGAGTATCCACCACACTACAACCAGTGTAAGGATAATATACCAATCTTCAACCCCACAAAAGAAATATGGTTAAGGTTATATTTATGAGAAGGTTGCATTGCGCCTGTTTCTCACCAGTGCTGTACTCTGTTACCTTATGTACTAAAACAGAGCAAGGTCGTAACAGAGAACAGACCTAGACAAATGAAGTTAATAACGTAGACAAATTATGAAAATGATAAATTCAATTTAAAAACAGAATTAAGATCTTATGGGATAAACTGGGTAATAAATTGCTTGCTCACCATTACACTGCAGTCAAGTATATGTGCTATTAAGCTGATTTTAATAGCCTGTTACTGTAAAAAATAGTTACTTTTAACAAACTTATCAATACAGTATTAGGATTATTAATAATGAATATAATTGAAATTAAAATATCATTATTATTTAGCGTTTTCATAAAGTTAGTAAAAAAACTTTAACAACCATGCTATTAGAAAAATTTAAATTCAACTACATCAAATTAAACACCATTATAAGATATAAATACCACATATAAAGTATTAAACACCTAAAATATTATTATACCTATGTCTAAGTATCTAAATAATCTATTATCATTGACACTAAATAAAAAAGTATTAACCTAAAAGAACAGCTTCATTAAAGGCGAACACTGAGACAATAACAAGAGGCGAGGAAGGTGAAGGTGATGCAGGGAGGTGAGGTGTGATACTCTGCCTCACTAGTCTTCATAATGACGGAGGAAATTGGCTTTGAGTTAGAGAGACAGCAAGAGAGGTGAGTAATATAGATTATGTTATATTTTATTTTAACTACAGTAAGTCTTTGTGAGCTGAAGCTATATACAGGACCGTGCTGCAGCTAACTCAGAAAGGCTATACAAGGGGGGTTGGTTCATCTCATACCCAAGATAACTAGATAAGTCGTACCCAAGATTACCTAGTTTAAGAGATAATTCATGCCTATTAGTATATGTACCATGCATTTTAGCTTTATCTATGATTACAAAAAATAATGATTATGTAAATCTTGTAGAAAAGTGCAGTGAAATAGTGAAATGTAATGCAGCGCTTTAAAATGGTTGCATCTCATTGCCTAAGTATGTTATTCCGTCACACAAACATTGCTCTACAAGTACTAAACTTGACAACGGCTGAAACGGTACTGGAGCTATGAAACGAAGTCCAAGCTTATATTTAAAACTGAACTCACTCACATAGGATTAGTGGACCTCCAAACACAAGAGATTAGTACGGTCAGTGACCCAGGCGGAATCCCTTTGATCATCTGACGTCACGTCCTTTGAGCGTCACATATCATAAAGTCCTGAATAACCTGACTGTGAAACGTGACTATCGAAGGACGTGACATCAGATGATCAAAGGAATGTCGGTTTGTACCTTGGAAGTTCTGCAGTCAACTTATACGCTGCGATATATATATATATACAGTTGTACCCCGCTTAACGCGGTCAATTGAACCCACAGGGTACCGCATTAAGTGAACAACAGAACATATGGTATTAATTCCAATAGAGACTGGCCCGACCCCCAAACTCCACTTTTTGACGACACACAACTATGTTGTAGTAAAAATTTTATCTTAACTTTATGATGGTATGAACAAACAAGTAATATAGAAGAGGTTAGGTTAGGAAAAATAAAGGTTAAGTTAGGAAAAATAAAGGTTAGGTTAGGAAAACTAAAAGTTAGGTGTAACACTTACGTTA